GGGCCCCGGTGAGTGCACACCTGGCGCGCGGCAGGGCTCCCGGATGTGTCACCTTGTCCCGCTGCAGCCGAGATGCCCGGGGAGAGGGGCCCTCCACACCCCCTCCGTGGGTGTGTGGTGAGTGTGTGCGCGTCGCCCCGCGTCGCTCGCTGTGGTGCCTGCGGTGTGTCTGCGTGGGGTGCGGGTGCGCTGGGGGGTGTGGCCGCCTTTGTCGGCCCCAGTGGGTGTGACCTCTTTGTCTGGTGTCCCCCTTCTGCAAGCCCGGACCCCTCAGGGTGTCGGTGCGGGTGAGGGTGCAGGCGCCCCTTTGTGTGCGCATCTCCCTGCCGCCCGCGCATACTCTCCCGGGTCCGGGCGACGGTGACATCCCTGCTAGGCGAGGGGTCCCCCGGCGTGATCGCGCGGGCCCGCGCCCCCGTGTACCCTCCTGGCCCCTTTGTGTCCCCGCCAGTTCTTCCCAGCGACGGCGTGGGCGCCCCGGCTGTGTGGGTGGCTCCCCTTTGTGTCACTGCTCCCTCGGGGGGGGTGTGCGTCCCCCGCGCTCCGTGCCTCCTTCAGTCGTGACCCGGCCCCCCCCCCCGGAGCATCGCCCGCCCGCTGTGCGTCCTCGCGTGTCCCGCGCGCGTGCCGCGCCTGGGTCCTGTCGAGTGCCTGATCTCGGTGGTGCGGGTTCTCGTTCGGGAGTGTTCGTGAACATTCGTGCACGCCCCGTCCTCTGTGTTTTGTGTTCCCTGTGTCTGCGCCACCTGTTTTCGTGAGCATGGCGGCCGAGTCGGGGCCGGCCCCTCCCCAAGGAGGGGACCAGGAGGTGGGGAAATCAGCCCAGCGCTCCCCCCGCCGCTGCGCCCCTTCGGAGCATCCTCCCTCCCCCGGCGCTTCAGAAACCCGGGACAGCAGCGGGTCTGGCCAGCTGCTCCGCAGTTTTACGATGTCTTGTGTTGCCTGTCGAGCCAGCCTGTTCTGGGGACGGAATTAGGGGGGACAAGGGCCAAAAATGGAGCCAAGGCGTAGGTACCAGTGCGGCGAGCGTTTTTCAGAGGCGCCCTAGATGCCCCAAACCCTTCAATTACAGAATTCCTTCTAAAATACATGCACACGCCAACTGGGCAAATACATGCTAGCCGACCCTGGGCGTTCTTGGTAATACTTAATACTTGGTATACAGTATTCATATAGTGTTTTATGGCGTTCAGATAAATTATTTCTTTTGATTCTGCCCTGCATCCTGGCGGGAAGCGAGGTACACGTCTCAGATTTCACTCGTCCTCCCCTGGGAGTGGTTTTCTCGTAGTTACAGCTCTAGTTTCTAATTTCTTTTTTATTGCAAGAAATTGCATTTTATCCTAACGGAAATGGAATTTCTTATAAGGATACAAAGAGAGAAATTTCAAACCCTTTAGGAACCCAGCTGCTCCTCCTCTTGCTCAAAGGTTGGTGCTCTGCGCTCAAGGGCTGCATTTTGGTGTCTTCTCTCTGTTCATTTGCTCGATTTTCTTACTCTTGCCTAATTTTCCTTTTTAATTTTTTGAGTGTTTCAAATATAAAATACAGAGCGGGATCTAACCAGTCCGTGACTCAGATTTACAGATGTAATTATTTGTCAAATTTACTTCAGATCCTCTTTTTTTTTTTTTATGAGGTAAAATTGCAGGTATTGGAGGTACTCTCAGTTCCTCCCCCTCCTTCCCTACAGGTAGCCACTGTGTTCAGGTTTGTGTATATCCTTCTCGTGCATATTTTATACTTGGATCACAGTGAATCCATAAACGATATATAGTGTTGTGTGTTTCAAACTTTAATGGTACTAAACAATATATGTCTTTCTGCCACTTTTTTCCGATCAGCATCACATTTTTGAGATTTATATACGAATAAATTGGATAATTGTGTTATCTTTGGTTCATTCATTTTAATTGCCGATATAGAATTCCATTGTATGAATATACCATAATTTATCCATTTCCTTATTGATGGACTTTGAGGTTGTTTCTGGTTTTTTACTCTAAAAACAATTCTGCAATAAACATCTTTGTACTCATTTGCTTGTGCACACATTTGGAAGTTTCTCTAGGAAGTACACCTAGTAGTAGATTTGCTGGGTAGTAGGGTATGTACATCTTCAACATGACCAGATATCACAGAAGCTCTCCAAATGGTTGTGCTAATTTTCACTCTCACTGGTATTGAGTGAGGACACCCATTTCCTCACATCCTTGCTAACACTTTGCTATCAGACATATACATGTTTGTCGTCTCTTCACTAACCGGCTTCCTTATAACTTTAGCTTGCAGCCACCTCGGCTTCTGCTCTAGCCCTGTGTCAGCCTATGGGTTCATCTCTCACAGCTAACTGGCTCAGTCTATCTCATTTGGTCCTCATAAGATTAATTCCAACAAACATTTATTTTGTTTATAATAATAAACATTAGTTTATAACTAATGTATGTCAGTTCCTATGGTTGGTGTAAAGATAGTAATTTCCATGGTATGTTATATGTACCTGTCTAGAGGCAGGTGAGGTGATTTAATTAAATGCTTTTTTTCATATAATGATGGTTTTTTAAAATATTTTTTCTTTTTTACTTAATGTAATATTTGGTACATTCAGAATATATGTAACATATATGCAGGTTGTGAAGCAAAACAATAAAATGAAAACCTGTCAATCCACCACTCAATCCAAGAATCAAAATGACCAATACTGAATGTGCTCACCTCCAGAGTGACTATCCTGAATTGTGTGTCATTCCTTGCTTTTTAAAAATAATTTTATCAGGTATGTATACATCTTTTAACAGTGTATTGTATGGTTTCTGTTGTTTTTGCGTTTTTTAAAAAAGGAATACTGGACACAGTTTTCTGAGGCTTGCTTATTTCTCTCAATGTTATGTTTCTAAGTCACTGTTAGTGAGTATAGATGTCAGTCATTAATTTTCACTGCTGTGTAGTATTCCATGGGTGAATATAACAGTGTATGCATTCTTCTGTTGATGGACATTTTGGTTGTTTCTAGGTTTTGCTATTATGAAGATTCTTGTACGTATCTTCTGGTACAGAGTTGCAAGAATTTCTCTAATTTTCAGCCTGGGGTATATGAACCCTAGGGGAGTAATGAAGGATTTCTGAGTATTTGGGTACAGGTGATATTAATGAATCAATTTCTAGATCATTAAATTCCATGTGTACTCTTTCCTAAAATTGGCAATGCCTGAGGCTTATGCTAGTGGCTTCCTGCTGGTTCTACTTTCCCACCTTCCCTTTGACAGTATCGCTTCAACCTTAGGTAAGGAAGGCATACCACTCATCCATATGGAATCTTACTAGGGCAATGCCCCAAGTGGAAAAACTCCTCAAGGAAAACAAAGAGATAATTTAAAATACGGTGTATAGTGTTAGGGAAAGCCTCTTTTAGTCCAGGTACTTCCCATCTCCTCAAGAGCTGCATTTCCAATAAAATTTCAATTTTTATGTTTAATTATCAGCATATATGGTTATTTTTTGATCAACTTTATACTATAATAATTATGACATAATTTAAACCAAGGTTATGTCAGTTTTATTTTAAAATGTCACTGTGATACTCCAGAAATTCATCCTTTGCAATTGTTTAAACTTAGGCTGAAATTTTTTAGATGTTATCTTAAAAAGTGAAGAGTATGTCATTTTTAAAAGCATTTTTGTTGTTTGAGTAAAAAAATGGTTGGAATACCACTGTGGTAAGCTTTTTGCTAGAAGTAGAATCGGTGGGTCATGGGGTATGAATGTTCAACTTTACAAAATGATACCAAATTGTTTTTCGAAGTGGTTGTAACAGTTTATGTTTTGGTTAGCAGTTTTGTCAATACTTTGATCAGCAGTGTATAAGAGTTATAGTTGATCTATATCCTCTCCAACACTTCTCACTGTCAGACTTCTTAATATTAGCCAATCAATTGGGTATGAAATAATGTGTCATTGTGGTTTTAATTTGCATTTCTTTGATTATTAATGAGTTTGAGCATCTTTTCGTATGCTTATGAACCATCTGTTGCCGTTTTGTGAAATATCTGGTCATATCTTTTACCCATTTTTCTATTGGGTTGTCTTTTAAAACTAGTAAACTGGTTACACCAATCTTTTTATTGATTATACGCATTGTAAATATCTTCTTCCAGTTTGTGGACTGTTCTTTCACTCTTTATGGTGTATTTGGTGAACAGAGTTCTTAATTTTAATGTAATCTAATTGGAAACTTTTCCTGCTCTGGGGTTATAAAGACATTCTCCTGTGTTTCTTTTTAGAAGTTTTAAAGTGATGCCTTTCACATGTAAGTTCATAATCCATTTGGTATTGATTTTTGTGTACAGTGTGAGGCAGTGATCCACATTCATTTTTCTCCGATGTGGTGACAGTTGTCCCCATACCGTATATTGAATTGGCCCTCTGTTCACCGTCCATCTGCTGAACCACCTCTTTGACATGTTTAGTTTCTATATGCATGGGTGTGTTTCTGGCTCATCTTCCTGTGCCACTTGTCCACTTGTCTGTCTCTGTGTTGATACCACACTGTTGTAATTATTAATGCTATAGCTTTGCCAGAAATCTTGATAGCTATGGGGGACTCGAGTCTCAGCTGTTCTTGGACCTTTGTTCTTGTTTTAAGAATAAGGTTGTCACGTGACATGAAAAACTCTTTGGGAATTAATTGGAATTGATTGAATCAGTTTGGGGGAGAATTGAAATCTTTAAGATTTTGAGCCTCCTGTCTGAGAACATGGTACGTATTTCCATTTATTTAGGTATTTAATGTCTTTTAATATACTTTTGTAA